ATTGCTATTCCCCCATGCTTATTCCACGTGTTCTGTGCGTAGCTACTCCCACCCTCACTGCTCGACGTGGGCATGTGGCACAGGCTGGCACTGAGAGCACTGCCTGCTCTCGGACACAGCACGTCAGTCCGCGCCAGTGTGCATTGACACTGAGGCTCTGTGTTAGAACTGTTGGTAAAAGAGAACCTGTGTTTATACTGGGATAGATAAGAGGATGAAATCTAAGCTTGGAGCTGCTGAAAGTCACTTTGCCGCCAAGAAAAGAGAGGCTGCCTGAGAATTGGGGCAACACACACGCAAAAGAAAAGCTGAGTTGAGAGGTGGAAAGAGCAACACTACGGCTCGGTGAAATGAGCCTGGATCTCATCCTGGAGAGCTGGGTTTTGTGAGCCATTAAATTATCTTTTCACTTCAGTTGGATTGGCATTTGCAACCAAGATACCTAATTAATTTAGCTTAGACATATCAGAAGGTTATTTTTAAGATAGAGAATATCTTTTTTGCAAGGTAGGGAAGGAGTAAGGAGTGTGAAAGAGATTGGAGATAAAAGGGAAATAGGGGTAAAGAAAGGTAGAGTGGCAATTTAAATTTCATCTATATGCTGATTAGCCCCAAATATCTATGTCCATTTCAGATCCCTTACCCGAACTCCAGACTCATGTATCAAATCACTTATTTCATTTTCTGTTTGGAGAGCTCCAAAGAGGTATATCCATCGTTTTTTAAGAGAATGGAATCAAAGAACTTAAGCTCATGTCCTAGTTCTTCTACTTATTAGCTATGACCCTGAGCAAGTTACTCGAATTCTCTATGCCTTGGTTTTTTAATCTATATAATGGGGATAATAACTGTATTTGTTTTTATCAAATTATTATGAGGGTTTAAGGAGTCAGTACCCATAAAACTTTAGGATAGCATCTGGCTATTATTAGTCATTTCCAAAATATTGGTTTGATTCCACACTCCATACCCTCTGCCCAAATATTTCCTGCCTTAGTTTTTACTAGGCCAGTAAATGGTACCACTCTCAATCTACTTGTAGTAAAGCGGGAGTGACTGAATATAACAAGCTATATAACTAATGGACAAAAGGTATAAAATAATAGAAACAGAAGGCCAAAGTGTGGCCTTACAGTAAGGAGAGAAAATTCTTTTACATGAAGTCAAGCTTAGCAGGCTATGGTAGGTTGATTGATTCTATTAAAGAGCAATGAGATGCCATTGAAATATTAATTGGGTGAGTGTTATTATCTAATGCATGTCTTAAGATATCACTTCACTGCTAGTCGCTATTATATGTACAAATAGTTTCTAGGTATTGAGGTTTCAGCAGTGAACCAAACATGAAATCTCTGCCCAACTTAAGCTTACATTTTAGCAGGGGGAGAAAAATGAGCTAGCAGATACATAATAAGATGGTGTTATAAAGAAAAATAAAACAGAATGAGGGGGATAGGTAGTACAGAGGGTGGATGTTTTTCTTTTGAATAGAGTGACCACGGTTGTCTTCTCTGATAACTTGTAAGCAGAGACTGGAGAGAAGGAGGTGGAGGGAGAAATATCTGGGGGAAGAGCATTCTAGGCAGATGGGACAGATGGAAGTGCAAAAGGCCAAGTTCAACGAGTGTGAGGAAGAACAAGGAGGACCCTAAGCTTGGACCATGGTGACTGAGGGAGAGATAGAAGGTCACAAAGAAAGTTAGTAGGGCAGATTATGTAGACAATTTAAGGATGGTTTTTACTCTGAGTGGAATGGGAAGCCATAAAATGTCTTTCAGCAGAGAAGTGACTGGATCACTCTGGCTGCTGTGCTAAAAAGATATTGAGGGCAGGCAAGAGTGGAAAGAGGGGGAGCAATCGGACCTCTGTACCTGCAATCCAGGTGAGAGAGGATTGTGGTCAGGAGTAAGGTAGTGAGTGGAGCTGTGGAAAATGGGAGCAAAGGATGTCTTTTTCTGCTGATGTAGCTGAAAAGATAAAACAAAAGCCTTGAGCTTAGGAGAGATTGCTGGCTTTGTCTTTCTCTCACCTCCCAATCTAATCTATCAGCTGATCCTATCAGGCTACCTTCAAAATATATGTTGAATTTATTATATTTTGAAGAGATAATTTCCTACATTTATTAAAAGGAATATATCCCAGAAACTCAATGAACCTTTAGCAGTGTAAATACAAAAACAAAGAAACAAACACACAAAAAACCACATATCTAGAAACATCACAATTAAATTTATAAACATGAAAAAAGAAGAGAGAATTGTAGAACAGCCACTTAAATAGAAATATACTACATATAAGGAAGTGTACAAATTTGTACACTACATACAAGTGTACAAATGATGGCTAACTTCTCACCAGAAACAACATATGGCAAAATGCAATAGAATCACATCTTTAAGGTGATGAACATTAGGAAAAAAAAACCTGTCAACTCAGAGTTTAATATCCAGTAAGAATTCATTTAAAAAATGAAGGTTAATGAAGACATTTTTAAGATAAACAAAAGTTGAAAGTATATGCCACCTGTAGGAATGCATTTCAAGACATTCTGCAGAAAATTCTTCAGGTTCAAGGTAAATGATACCAGCAAGGAGCTCAGATATATGAAAGGAATAGAGAGCCCCAGATATAGCTGATAAATGATTAAATACCAGCAACTGTCTTTTTTTTCTTGTTATACCTTTGAAAGATAATTAATTGCTTAAATCATGAACTATGATATTTTATTATGGAGTAAATAAGATATAAATATATGACCACAAGAGCACAAAGGACAGAGTGAGTATAAATGAAATTATATTGCTGCAAGTTTATTACTTTTTTATGTGAAGTGGTACAACATAAATAATTTTAGATAGAATGTGGTAAGTTACAAAAATATAATGGGATACAGTTAAAAAAGCAACAGAGGAAATAAAATGAAATGCTTAAATATATTTAATTAACCCAAAGGAAGGCAGAAAAAGAAGAAACAGAGGAAAAATTGCAATACATATAAATCAAATAGTAAATTATAAATCTAAACTCAACTATTCAACAATTTATTTTCTCTTAAAAAGTTTCTGTTCATGTCCTTTGCCCACTTTTTGTTTGATTTTTTCTTGTTGATTTTCCTGAGTTCTAAGGAGATACTAGTTATCAGCCCTCTGTCGGATTTGTAGCACATGAAAATTTTCTCCCATTCTGTAGGTTGTCTGTTTGCTCTTGTGACAGTTTCTTTGGCTGTGCAGAAGCTTTTTAATGTGATCAGATCCCATTTATTAATTTTTGTTGTTGCTGTGATTGCCTTTGGGGTCTTCTTCATAAATTCTTTGCCTAGGCCGATGTCTAGAAGAGTATTTCCAACATTTTCCTCTAGAATTCTAATAGTTTCACTCCTTAGGTTTAAATCTGTAACCCAGCGTGAGTTGATTTTTGTGAGAGGTGAAAGGTGTGGATCCTGCTTCAGTCTTCTACATGTGGCTATCCAGTTTTCCCAGCACCATTTATTGAATAAGTATTCTTTTCTCCAGTGTATGTTTTTGTCTGCTTTGTCAAAGATTAGATGGTTATATGAGGATGGTTTTATATCTAGGTTCTCAGTTCTGTTCCACTGGTCAATGGCTCTGTTTTTGTGCCAGTACCAAGCTGATTTGATTATTACAGCCTTGTAAATAAAGTTTGAAGTCTGGTAAATTGATACCTCCCATTTTGCTAAGACAGAATAATGGCCAAAAAACATATGAAAAAATGCTCAACATCTCTAATCATCAGGGAAATGCAAATAAAAACCACAATGAGATATCACTTATCT